GGGGGGCAGGTTGTTCCAGAGTTTGGGGCCCATGACTGAAAAAGCCCGATCTCCTCTGAGCTTCTTGTTTTTGGAACATCTAAAAGCAGCTGATCAGATGATCTCAGGGCCCGAGAGGGAACGTAAGGTTCCAGAAGCTCAGAGAGGTGAAGGGGTGCGAGGCCATTTAGGCATTTGAAGGTCAACAGAAGAATTTTAAAGACTGTCCTTGTACGAACAGGGAGCCAGTGAAGGGAGGACAGAACTGGAGTAATATGTTCAGACCTACGAGTTCCTGTTAAAAGCTGAGCAGCAGCATTCTGGACGAGCTGAAGACGTGAGATGGAGGCCTGGCTGATCCCAGCATGCAGTGCGTTGCAATAGTCCAATCGGGTCATGACAAAGGCGTGGACTAGTTTCTCAAGGTCGGGTCTGGACAACACTGGCTTGAGCTTAGCTACCTGTCTGAGTAGGAAGAAGCTTTTCTGCAGAACAGAGATAAGAAATTATGAAATAATAATGTTGCTTAAAAATTATAGTATTTTGACCTAAACTGTCATATGTGCTGAGTAAAGATAATCCAAGATGAGGTGTGTGTTGTGTTTGTTGAGCATGTGCATAGAAAAGGAGTAAATAAGACATTTTACATTTATCTGGCAACCCTGATGCAGGTGCATTCATTGTCCATGCAGCGTCTGCATGAACATACCAACATCTCATTGGAACTGGATTTCATTCATTTTACTCCTACATGGTGACGAAGGCTGAGTAGCTGTGATGTTTCATCTGGAACCGTAACGACACGGTTCATTTGTAACCATGACGACACGGTTCATTTGTAACCATGACGACACGTTTCATCTGTAACCATGACGACACGTTTCATCTGTAACCATGACGACACGTTTCATCTGTAAATTCGTGCTGTAATTCAGGGGACAGGATTGTGGAATTACCTTGATATCAACATAAAAATTCCTAAAACAATTTATATGTTTAAAGAGATGATTAAGTTCAAATTGTTAGGAAAGTATACCAATTGATGTTTTTTGTTTTCACTTTGGAGATTGTTGAAGCATAGGTTGTTGTTTGTTTGTAGTTGTTGTTGTTTTGTTTTTTTAAATTGGGGCAGACATTAGATTTTTTTTTCTTTCTGCACCCTTTCATTCAATGTTTTTTTCTTTTTGATGAATATGTTTTGCTTATTTTGTTTCTTTTAAATGAATGAATAAATGGCTAAATAAATAAATAAATCGGTAACGGTGCCGTTTCATCGGTAATGTAATCGTGATGCGTCTTCTGTAACCGTGACGACAGATTTGTAAAGTAGTCAGACTGAAGAGGCTGAGAGAACATCGTTTGTTAAAAGTCCATTATAGTTTGAACAAGACAGCACGCGTCATTAAAACAGATTCAAAGCTGATGAGAAACGTTCTTCCACGTCACTTTAAGTCAGCTCCTCTACCAGAGGCACAGGTTCTGGTCAGTATCTTAGCTGTCCATGGACTGAAGAAATATTAAAAAACTATAAAAACTTCTCCGTGCTTTTTTGGACATTTAATAAATAGAAATAAATAACAATCCTAATGGATCTAGAGCAAAAAAGGTAGAGTCTGATTTGGCGTCAGACAGAGATGCAGAACGTTGACCTGCAGTCATAAATTCACACACGTGAAGTTTGTCCTGAAACAGAAAATGAAAGAGTAACCCCACAATCTGGCTCTGAGGGTTAAAAACCTTCACATTTATTCTGCTGCACAAAAACAACTGGAATTCAAACAAAATGGCTTTTTTCTTTATTTCACAAGGTCAGAGGTCAACCAAAGTGAGTGTGTGTTTGTGTGTCAGGGTTGTGTTGTGAGTGTGTGTGTTGCTGTAAAATCTGCCTGGATGTCCACGACGGCCTCCAGGATGCGCTCCGCTCGTTTCTGCAGCTCAGCGTCCAGCAGCTCTGCTCCCACCACAAACCGCTCCTGAACATCAGGAAGACACGAGACGTGCTCACACGTTAGAACGTTAATGTTCTCCACAGGTCCAGAACAAACAGTCTGCTGCAGTACCACACCTTCTTCTTGAAGCCGGGAGGGGACACAGGGGGGTTAAAGGTCATGTCTCTGACACTGTAATCTTCAAAAAGCTCCAGTGGTGACCTGCACAGGTTTGAATGACACCAGCATCACAGAGGGGACAGAACTGAGCAACCTTCTCCTCCTGTTTCAGCGGAGGACGAGTTTAACCTCCACAGGAAGTGACTCAAAGCTTCCAGACAAGTGAAAGCTGCATCTCAGTGAACATCTGGATCCTGCTGAAGGTGCTACAACTAAGAAGCTGCAGTGTGTCATACCTGCGGCTCAGCTCCACACTCAGAGACATGGAACCTTCACTGGGAGCTCCGTGGCTCAGGTGGACTGCAAACCGCTGAACCACCGGGTGGTAATGTCTCTGAACACAAACACGTCAAGAAGATCAACACAAACCTGCAGAGTGTGTGTATCTGCAGTGTGTGTGTATCTGCAGTGTGTGTGTACCTGCAGTGTGTGTGTATCTGCAGTGTGTGTGTATCTGCAGAGTGTGTGTACCTGCAGTGTGTGTGTATCTGCAGTGTGTGTGTACCTGCAGTGTGTGTGTACCTGCAGTGTGTGTGTATCTGCACTGTGTGTGTACCTGCAGTGTGTGTGTACCTGCAGAGTGTGTGTACCTGCAGTGTGTGTGTACCTGCAGTGTGTGTGTACCTGCAGTGTGTGTGTACCTGCAGAGTGTGTGTACCTGCAGAGTGTGTGTACCTGCAGTGTGTGTACCTGCAGTGTATGTGTACCTGCAGAGTGTGTGTACCTGCAGTGTGTGTGTACCTGCAGTGTGTGTGTACCTGCAGTGTGTGTGTACCTGCAGTGTGTGTGTACCTGCAGAGTGTGTGTACCTGCAGGTGTGTGTACCTGCAGTGTGTGTGTACCTGCAGAGTGTGCATCTCCCACAGGGCAGTATTTTGAGCGTTGCAGTGTTCTGGTTCGTCCAGTTCTGGCAGGTAGAATCCGCTGCCCTGAACTTCGTTGTCCAACAGGAAGTCGCACTTTGGGAAGGACTGACACACAAACACACACACCAAACAGAGTGAACGTAGTGGAGACAACAGTCAGGTGTGTTTCAGGGCTTAATGTGAAAAAAAATCCTGAACCTGAAACTTGTGGTGTTGATAGAATAAAATCGTGACATATTGCCAACGTTTTATTAAAAATGCTCCGAAAAGTGCAGACAACTGCTTTTAACAAAAAACAATTCAGCTTCAAGTAACAACTTAAATGAGGTTTCAATGTATTTGAACTTAAACAACATAAAACATGTACCCCAGAGTACTGCCCACAGCTAAAAGAACTCAGAAAGACTCAACACATTGAACAGACACATTTAAGTCAATTAATTTGCAATAAATTTAGAATACTCAATATCACAATCTAAAAGGAAAAAGTTTCACAGAGCTGGTTTTAGGACTCCCACCGTTCTAAAAAACTTTCAGAGTAGGAGCTGGACGCCGGATGGCGGACCAGAATCGCCTCGAAGCCGTACGGAAGTCATTCTCCATGGCCTCTCTGAACTTCTTCCATGCCCAAGTTTTTGCCTCAACGACCACCCGAGCCGCATGCCGCTTTGACTGCTGGTACCCATCAGCTGCTTCTGGGGTCCCACAGGCCAAAAAGGCCCAATAGGACTCCTTCAGCCTGACAGAATCCCTCACCGCCGGTGTCCACCACTGGGTTTGAGGGTTACCGCCGCGACAGGAACCGACAACCTTGCGGCCACAGCTCCAATAAGTCACCTCGACAATAGAGGCATGGAACATGGCCTGCTCGGACTCAATGTCCCCCGCCTCCCCAGGAATGTGTTTGTAGCTCTCCCGGAGGTGGGAGTTAAAACTCCGTCTCAAGGGAGACTCTGCCAGATGTTTCCAGCAGACCCTCACAATACGTTTGGGTCTGCGAGGTCTGACCGGCATCCTCCCCCACCATCAGAGCCAACTCACCACCAGGTAGTGGTCAGTTGACAGCTCCGCCCCTCGCTTTACCCGCGTGTCCAAGACATGCGGCCACAGATCAGATGAGACGATGACAAAGTCGATCATCGAACTGCGGCCTAGGGTGTCCTGGTGCCAAGAGCACATATGGACACACTTATGCTTGAACATGGTGTTCGTTATGGATAATCCATGACGAGCACAGAAGTCCAACAACAGAACACCACTCGGGTTCAGATCAGGGGGGCCGTTCCTCCCAACCACACCCCTCCAGGTCTCACTGTCATTGCCCACGTGAGCGTTGAAGTCCCCCAGTACAACAAGGGAGCCCCCAGGAGGCGCACTGTTTGGCGCATAAGCACAAACAACAGTCAGAACCCGTCCCCCCCCTCACGCAGGTGGAGGGAGGCTACCCTCTCGTTCGCTGGGGTGAACACCAACGTACAGGCACCAAGATGGGGGGCAACAAGTATGCCCACTCCTGCTTGGCGCCTCTCGCCAGGGGCAACTCTAGAGTGGAAGAGTGTCCAACCCCTCTCAAGGAAGCTGGTTCCAGAGCCAGAGACGTGTGTCAAGGTGAGTCCGACTATTTCTAGCCGGAACCTCTCATCCTCACACACCAGCTCAGGCTCCTTCCCCACCAGATAAGTGACATTCCACCAGAGGCGGACTGGCCATCGGGAGCGACGGGACACTTCCCGGTGGCCTGGTTGCCGAGGAACGGGACTAAAGGCTCGGTTCGGGTCGCACGGACTTTATTATTTTAAATAAACAATTCACTTTTGCCTGGGCTCAGGTCTCACGCTGCACTGCAGCGACGGAGAAAGCCTGGCACATCCCCCGGCCGGGCCGGCCCCCTCCCTTCCTTTTCTGTGTGTCACTCACAGAGCAGAGACACACACACACATTGCGCCCGCCCCCCTCCCCGCCCTAGGACTCGCGCTCCCGACGGTGTTGGCGCGCGGTGCGTGCATCTCTGAGTTGTAGAATGGAGCAACAGAGACAGCCAAAGAAGAGGAAAGGTGGAGCAGAGAGAGAGAGGATAAAAAAGAGAAAAGCTGTGGCCGCGGATGCTGCTAAGTGCTATAAATTAATGTTTGTTCGTAATGGAGCAGGTAAGAGAAACACTTGTGTTGAAAAAATTGAACTCTGGCACAGTTTATCAGCACAGCTTAATATCCACATGCTAGCTTCACTTTGAGGGACCTAAGTGGGCCAAAACTGACTTAATATAACAAATGTTTTTAAGTTTTTACAAAGAATATTGCAAATTTTATAATATGGGTTAGGATCTGAAAAAAGTTTAATGTTGAAATGTCTAGGAATTCAGATTTTTTTGTATCTAAAAAAGTTAAGTCAGGTCCTCTGGACAAATAAAAAAAAAACTTGTTGAAACTTTTGTCTTTAATCCAAAAAACTAAGTTCAGTCTGAGGAGTTGCAACAAGCTCAGTTTCAAATAGCCTCTTCTCATAGTGGATCAACCTGTTAACATAAGGAAGACCTGCAGCCTAACAACCCCTAACAATGGTTTCTTTTCACAAAGATGGCTTCCTTTACTCCTCTCTCAAACCATAGTTCCTCTCTATCAAGGATGTGCACATCTTCATCCCTGAAAGTGACTGCTGGCCTGCAGATGAGTGTAAACTGCCGAGTCTTGGCCTGAAGATGTTGCTCTTCTGTGCTGGGCCAAAGAGCAACATCATCAGGCCAGGAGAACTCTGTGGTTTACACTCATCTGCAGGCCAGCAGTCACTTTCAGGGATGAAGATGTGCTCATCCTTGATAGAGAGAAGTGTTGGTTTGAGAGAGGAGTAAAGGAAGCCATCTTTGTGATGAGAACTCATCCATCATTAAACAGGGACAGAGGCCTCTGTGTCCAACTGTAGCCCTCTTACAATGCTGTTATTGCTGGTATCTCTCAGCCCCCTGTGAATAGCAAACAGCCTAGAGCACTAACGATCCATTGTTAGGCTGATGATGGTCCTCCTTTATCATGTTAACAGCTAGTTCTGGATGTCAGCAACAAACTGGTTGATCCACTATGAAAAGAGACTATTTGAAACTAAGTTTGTTGCAGCTTCTCAAACTGACAGTCTTTTGGATTAAAGACTAAACGTTTCAACAAGTTGTTTTTTTTTTAATCTGTCCAGAGGACCTGACTTAACTTTTTTAGATTTTCTACCTGGATTATTGAGGATATTTTGTGTATACCCTTCATTACTCCAATAAATTATCTGAATATTAAAATCCTTGTATTACAATATTTTATTTAAACTTTATTTTACCAGGTAAAGTTCTGTTGAGATTAAGAACTTTTTTTTTGTTATATGAATAGCCAATACATATAAATAGTCAATAAGTGAAAATGAATAGATGGGAAATTATGGATGGCTTTTTAGACGTGTGCAAACAACATGCATTCAAAGTGCGCTCAATTGAACTCAGTCTTGGTGGTTTGCGTTAATCAGGTGGTGGTGGCCTGGGATGGTATCAAAATTCCCGGCCTGGATTATTGTCCCAGTCCGCCCCTGCATTCCACATCCCAATAGCCAGCTTCTGTAGCTGAGGATCAGAACGCCAGGGTCCCCGCCCTCAGCCACCACCCATCCCACATTGCACCCGACCCCTTTGGCCCCTCCCACAGGTGATGAGCCCATGGGTAAAAGCCCGGCCACCAGGCGCTTGCCAGCGTGGGCAAGCGCCCACGCAAGCGTGAGGGAACATTGATTCCATTTGTTTTGCTCATCATAGGGGTTTGTGAGCTGCACTTTGTCTGGTCCGCCGTCTGGCGTCTCGGGAGGGAAAGCGGTAGGCCACCAACACTATTTATAGTGGAGGCGGTGTGCTGCTGACCTCAACTCGGGATTCTGTGGGTCGGTGGGCAGAGTACTTCGAAGACCTCCTCAATCCTACCGGCATGTCTTCCACTGAGGAAGCGGAGCCTGGGGACTTTGGGTTGGGCTCTCCAATATCTGGTGCTGAGGTCACCGCGGTGGTTAAAAAGCTCCACGGTGGAAAGGCCCCAGGGGTGGATGAGATTTTCCTTAAGGCTCTGGATGTTGTGGGGTTGTGTTGGCTTACATGACTCTGCAATATTGCGTGGACATCGGGGACAGTTCCCCTGGATTGGCAGACTGGGGTGGTGGTCCCCCTATTCAAAAAGGGGAACCGTAGAGTGTGTTCCAACTACAGGGGGATCACGCTCTTAAGCCTCCCTGGTAAGGTCTATTCAGGGGTTCTGGAGAGGAGGGTCCGTCGGATAGTCGAACCTCGAAATCAGGAGGAGCAGTGCAGTTTTCGTCCTGGTCGTGGAACAATGGACCAGCTCTACACCCTCAGCAGGGTCCTGGAGGGTGCGTGGGAGTTTGCCCAACCAGTCTACATGTGCTTTGTGGACTTGGAGAAGGCATTCGACCGTGTCCCTCGAGAAGCCCTGTGGGGGGTACTCTGGGAGTATAGGGTACCAGACCAATTGATACGGGCTGTTAGGTCCCTGTACGACCGGTGTCAGAGCTTGGTCCGCATTGCCGGCAGTAAGTCGGGCTTGTTCCCAGTGAGAGTTGGACTCCGCCAAGGTTGTCCTTTGTCACTGACTCTGTTCATAACTTTTGTGAACAGAATTTCTAGGCGCAGCCAAGGTATTGAGGGGATCCGTTTTGGTGGTCTTAGGCTCGCTTCTCTGTTTTTTTGCAGATGATGTGGTCCTATTGGCTTCATCAGGTCGTGATCTACAGCTTTCGCTGGAGCAGTTCGCAGCTGAGTGTGACGTGGCTGGGATGAGGATCAGTTACTCCAAATCCGAGGCCAAGGTCTTGAGCCGGAAAAGGGAAGAGTGCCCTCTCCGGGTCGGGTAGGAGGTCCTGCCCCGGGTGGACGAGTTTAAGTACCTCAGGGTCTTTGTTCATGAATGAGGGAAAATGGAACGTGAGATCGATAGGCAGATAGGTGCAGCGTTGGCAGTGAAGCGGGCACTGTACAGTTCTGTCGTGGTGAGGGGGGGAGGGGGTGAAGGGGGAAACCCCTCCAACGATATCACTCTTGATTTAAAAGAGCTCGTGATGTTTTAGGCATAAAAGCTGGATTTGGTCTTAGATCAGCCGAGCTGCCGTCAGCCTGAGTTCCAAGACATGACGGAGTGACAGAGAGGGCAGATAAATCACTCACCCTCTTAGCGGATGTTAAAGCCAGCAGCAGGGCTGTTTTAAGAAACAAGAATTTAATTGGGACCTGATCCAGAGGTTCAAATGGAGCTTTGATCGGGGCTCGCAGGACCAACGTTAAATCCCACTGTGGAGCAAGTGGGCGTGAAACAGGCCTGCGTCTCTGTACACCTTTTAAAAAACGCTTCATCAGCGGAGGATTAAAAACTGTTCTGTCTCCGAAAACCTTCGTGGCAGGAAGAAATGGCTGCAGCGTACGTTTCAATCGTGCTGAACACCAGATTTCTGTTCATCAGCTGCTGCAGAAAGGACAGCACGCCACCTAGTGGACATGAGGTGGCCTCTACACCCTTCTCTGTACAGCAGCGCTGAAAAGCTGTCCGCTTTGATGTGAACAGCGCTGTGGTAGATGCAGCACGTGAAACCTGGATTGTGCGCACTACATCCTGTGGGAGACCCATCCTCTCTAAGTGGATCCGCTCAGTGGCCAGACCCACAGGTGCTGGCCTATTTCTGAGTAACTCCGGGTCGCTCCTCCTGCCTGGAGGAGAGCGTCCTCCCTCCACGGCAGTTTCCACGGGCGCCCCGATAACAGGCGTCGTAGAACCGGGAACCATGGTGCGTTCATGCGCTCGGGAGCCACCAGGAGAGCTGTCAATCCCTCCTCCTGAACTCGGTTCAGAAACCGTAATATCAGAGGAGGTGGGGGGAACGCGTACAGAAGCGTTTTGAGCCATGGGCTGTGGGCAAACGCATCCACCCCCAGCGGTGGTTCGTCTCGCGGGCTCAGTGAAAACCATAGTTGACACTGAGCGTTCTCTCGTGTCGCAAACAGGTCCACAGCCGCTTTGCCAAATTTCTGCCATGTCTGGGCCATCAGACCGAGGTGGAGGGTCCAGTTCCCGTGACGTGGACCGCCCCTGGACATCACATCTGCCCCTTTGTTCAGAACACCAGGGATGTACACTGCTCTGAAGGAGAGCAGATTTTGGTGTGCCCAACACAGTAGTTTTCTCACAATGTGTAACATTTGGGCTGAGCGCACACACCCCTGCCGGTTTATGTACGCAGCAGTCACCTTGTTGTCTGTGTGAATCAAAACGTGTTGATTCTGCAGCACAGGAGCAAAGTGTTGAATCACATTCATAACCGTGTGACATTCCAGAACGTTTATATGAGCTGTTGTGTGAGGAGGCCACAGCGCCCCTACAGCTCGGGATAGACATGCCCCCCCCCCCCCCCCCAACCTGACAACGACGCGTCTGTGAAGACTGACACGTGTGACGTGGGTCTGCTGACAGGGACTCCCTCCGACAGAGCCAGGGTGTTTCCCCAGTGTCGGAGGTCTGCTCTCACGGAGGGAGGAACTGTGATCATCCGTCTATTTTGTTTTACTGGATCCACACACAGACGAGCAAACCACCTCTGGAGGCGTCTCATGTGTAATAAACCCAGCGGGACCACTGTGTTGATGACATTGTTCCTAACAGCTTCATGATGGAAACAGCTGTTACTACTCTGCCAGGTCTTACATGGCGGAGCTGGACTCTTAGACTGTCGATTCTCGTCTGTGATAAACGAGCCCTCATGGTGGTCGAGTTTAGCTCCTCTCCCAGATAAACAATCGTCTGGGCTGGGAGAATCTAGCTTTTTTCCCATTTATGGCAAAGCCCAGATTTAGCAGGTGTGACGTCAGCACCTGAGTCTGCACCGCTGCTTCCCGTCTGGAGCGTGACAGCAGCCGCAGGTCGTCTAGGTAAAGCAAAATTCTCATCCCTGCTCTGTGTAATGGTTGCAGGGACGTTTCCACACACACTGAGAACGTACGAGGCGCGAGGGAATAACCGAACGGCAGCCTGTTGTACTGATACTGCATCCCTTGAAAGGAGAAGCGCAGAAATTTTCTGTGCTTTGGGATGATCAGTATGTGGAAGTAGGCGTCTTTCAGATCGATGGATATAAACCAATCATTTCTCTGGATGATGTCCAACAGTTGTCTGGTTGTCAACATGTGAAACGGTCTGTCCACGATCGCCTTGTTGAAAACTGACAGGTCCAAAATCGGTCTCGTTCCTCCGGTCCGTTTTGGAACCAGGAAGTAACGTGAGTAAAAACCTGTGTTTTCCTCTCCATCGGGAACTCTGGAAATTACCTCTTTTACCAAAAGTTCCTGGACTTCTGCATTTAGGGATGAGACCTGGTCTGGTGATGACAGAGCCGTCTCTAAAACTCTTCCGAACGGAGGGGGTCGAGCTGCGAATTGTAGCGTGTAACCATTGTTATCAGCTTGCTCATCCATCTAACTGGAGAGCATGTTTGCTGCCACTCCGCGCGACGTTCGTGGAGTGGGCGCGCGTTTAGGTAGTGCGTCATGTTTCTTACAGACGTCAGCCAGTCTACAGCCTCGGCCGCCATCACGCGCCACGGAAGTGCGTTCTGCGTGACCCAAGGCGAGGCTTTCTCGAAAGGGCTCTGAGCGTGCCTCTGTGCCGCACTCAGGCTGTGGGTTCATATTCTGTCGATGTGAACCGGCGTGTGTTGAGGAGAGGCGTGCGCACCTTCATCCACGCGGCGCTGTTTGGGTGAAAGCTGCCGGCGCCGCGGGAGTTCGACACCGCTGCGATGAGACGCGTGCTGCTCCTGCTGAGAGCGAGGTTTCTCACTGGACTCGTTCTGCGGTCTCACGTTTATGCTGATGCGAGCCGGTGAGCGCTGGGGAGCGGTGTGCGCGCCTTCGTCAACGCAGCGTCGTTTGAGTGAAGGGGGATGGCGTCGCGGGAGCGCGCGTTTGACACCGCTGCAGTGAGAAGTGCGCAGCTCGGGCTGAAAACGAGTTATTCCACTGGACTCGTTCTGTGGACCACATTCGCTTCGACTGTTGTGTCATGCAAGCGTCTCGTGTTTATTTTGGAGTTGCGGTGATTCTGAAAAACCTTTTTTTAAGGCCACCGGCTCGTTTTGTGTGGAGGATGTGTGAAGAGCCTCTGTGAGGTCATCCGAGCTGACAGACTGGCTAAAATCAGACACTTTAATCATTGAATGAGGTTTTATTTCAAAACTCGTGTCATCTTTACACACATCCTCCGCAAACCGTCATTTTGAATCTTCTCCCCGTGAGCTCTGCGGTTTGTTGTCCCAGGACGCCACCTGTTGGCGATCTCAGGGAAACGCTGAACCTCCGGTTGCCGGGATGAGAAAGGCTGATGTCTGACGGGTCAGCCCCCCCCGTTCCGACACTACGCTCTCCAGGAGGGAGTGAGCAGCGGGGGCTGCTGCTGACGTCGCCTGTCCCGGAGGAATCATCCAATTCGCTCCGAGAGTCGGCGATAAAAGGAAAATTACAAGATGGCGTCGACCAGCGTGTAGCGACCCGTCACTGAGAAATATTCCTCGGCGCTTACCTTGAAACAAGACTGCTCGTCTGCTTCTCCTCGGGGAGGAAAACTCACCGGGACGGCAGGAGGTTGGCATGGCGGGGCCACAGGCAGCCCCAACAAAGGTTGTGCCGGTCAAGCTGGACAACTTTCCTTCTCCGTTCTTCTGACAGTGCTATTAGCTTGCTGAAGAAAAATGGGAGCCGATTTCCCGCTCTTAATGTAATTTGTACGGACCGGGTGGGGCCCGGTAGACGTGGACTAAATTTTTCAGTGCGATTCTTTGCATGACGGGATAAACCCACCAGCGACAGCCTTAAAGGGCGAAGCTTATACGAAATAGAACTAAAGACATTATTATCTTATTTCAATTAGTTTTAACTTTATTTATTTATTCATGTTCCTCAGAGGGAAAATCAACCTTCTTGTTTAAGCTGTCAGCCTCAAACAAATATATCTAATTTAAATGATTTTTATTTTAATGCTTGTAGGGTTTTTGTTTAAAATCTCTACATTATTATTTTTTATTGAAAAAATATTTATTTTACTGTAATTTATTTTAAAAGTGTATTTTCCTGCATTAGTCCACTTCTGGGTCAACATCCACATCCTCCTCTGTTCTCCAGAGCTCAGAACTGATGCTTGGTTCTGGACCCCCTCCTCTGCGAGGTCACACCTGGGCTCAGTCCGCTCTTCCTCTTCTACTCATCTTCCTCTTCATCACCCCCGCTCTCGCTGACTTGATCGTGCACCGAACTCCGTTCAACTTCCACGTCTTTTTCTTATTTTCCCTGTAGTTTATTTGGTGCGTGACAAATAACTTGAAGCCTCTGTCAGAAAAGGGGGGGGGGGGGTGTTTGTGTGTTGGGCGGGGGGGGGGGGGGGGGGGGGGGGCTGCAGCTTTTCGCTGTAACGCGCTTGAGAGTCGAGTTTTTTCAGAAAAAAGACGTGGCGTGGATTATTGATCATAACTCTGAGTTTACGTGGCCTATCATCAACGAGATTTGAAATCTGTAGATCTGACACAAATTGAAAGGAGTCGCTGAGTCTTGCAGCTGCAGACCGAACTCTGCGCTGCGATTCGCTCCAAAGGAGACACATCGTCAGTCAGAGTAGGAGGAGAAATCACCTCCTGTTATGGAGGAGGCAGAGCGCCACTTGTTTCTCCAGTAAAACTACATTTTTTCATTCATTCAACCTTTATTTAGACAGGTTTATTTTATCCCCGTGTGACCAACTCCCATGTTTCTACGTGACCGGACTGCGAAGCTGCACACACACTCATGCTGTTCTAAGACCCGCCTTCTTGTTAGTAACTGGTCAACGCAAGCTCCAATGTGATTGGATGTAATCTCTGTCTATCAACCAAAGTTAAGTTGAGGCGGACCGGTGGGTTGTCTCCAAGCCGAAAATCCGGCCCCCGGCCGGAGCGCTTTAAGCCCCGGTGTTACCTGCAGAACACAACATCACGGACTCACGTGCATGGTGGCTCTGTTGGCGGCCAGGATTCCCACGCTGGCGTTGGGCAGGACGTGCACGCTGAGCGTGCTCAGTCGTTTGATGAAAGCCATCGCCCTCTGAGGGGTCACGTGCTTCCTGCGGCGAGTCAACATGGCGTCCAAGCACCGCAGCACAATGATGATGTCATCGTCAGCCCCTGAGGGAAGCAGGACGTTAGTCACGTGGGTCCAGCAGCGGAGCTGGCTGCTGTGTCAGAGAACGGACCTGAATCGAGACGCAGCAGAATTTTATACAGCTGAGAGTAGAAGGTCAGCGGGTCGATGTTCAGGGCATCACCTGTCACACACACACACACACCGTTGTTCAGGTAAGACTGTACCCAGAGTCTCATCTGAAACTAGACCTGGATCTGAAGCGGACCCTGTCCTGACAGAGACCAACATCCTGACCTTGTCCCGACAGGATGGTGAAGACTGTCTGGATGCAGTGAAGACTCTCCCGATTGGGCAGATCCTGCACAAATCAATTAATAAACTGACCAATCAAATCATAGCAAACAGCTCAGGGGGCGGGGCCAAAATACTCACCCCTGATTGGATGAGGGTCTGCAGCACATTCAGCAGGTCATCAAAGAACTCCAGGTTAATCAGGTGAGCAAAACTGGCAGGAAATGACATCACAGTTATGAGAACAGGACTCGGACCGAACCAGGGCCGAGAGAACTGGTACAGGTGCAGTACTTGGCCAGCCCCTCCAGGACCGCAGGCAGAAGAACTGATCTCTGGGCCTTCTTCAGGATCCTGAAGTACACCAGGAAGACGATGTTCAAAGTCTCAGTGTGCTGAAGAGGAGGAGGAAGAGGAAGAAGGAGGAGGAGGAGGAGGACGAGGAGTTTAGTCTGTATTCAGACGGGTCCTGTTTGAAGTTGGACATTTGGACCTCACCAGTTTGATCTTCTTGTCTTTGCTCTCTGAAGCTTCAGCCTCCAACAGCTCCTTCTCCAGCTTCTCCTCCGCCTTCTTCCACTGTGCGCGCACACACACACACACACACACACACACACACACAGGCAGAGCATCGATGGTTAAAAGTTATTTAAGTTCAGAGGTTGATTTTTCTCAGCAGGGAATCTGACACAGGAAAGTCAGATTTATTTTGTGGTCCTCGAAGGCACCACAGCTGTTTGTCAGCTGCTCAGTCCAGGTGAAGGAGTGGAACCAGTGAACAACTGGTTCCTGTGAGACTCCTACACTTTACAACCAGGAGGCAAATGAAGACACAGATTCTTTGATGTTCTGACTCGAATGCTCCGTGAGAAGAGATCAAAGGAGTGACTTGATGAAGACAAATATCAAACGGAGATTTAAAAACAAGAATCATCATCAAACGTTTACCTTCCTCTGCATCCTGGACAAGTTCTTCTTCTTCTCTTTGTTTGTCATGAACTTCTTGTTTGGTGCCGTGGACTCCAGGTCCTTCTTCATCTCCACCTCCTTGATCCTCAGACTGAGGAAAGTCTGCAGCACCTGAGGAGGGAATGTGTGAGTCCTGAAACAAACCCAAGCAGACCCGGTTCAGGTGACTCGGATTAGTTACCTCGGGTCTGACGTTGTAGTTCAGACTCTTTACGAGACCAGAGATGACTCGTACAGCAGCCAGAGAGACTCCGCCCACTTTGTCCTGATGGAAGAGCTTCCTGATCGCATCGCAGCACATGTCCGATACCTGCAACGTACAGAGGCTCCTGAATGCACCACAAATGACACGCGTGAACCCGGCCGAGTTCAGGCCAGCACGGCTCACCTTCTTCGCAGGCTCGGTCATCAGCGGGACGAGGATGACGATGATGTTGTTGTGGAAGTTGAAGTGCGGCAGAGCGAGCAGCAGCTCACACAGGCAGCGCACGGCCACCTGGGCGAGGCCGCGGTACGCCTGGAAACCCACTGCCTGGCTGCGCTTCTTCTTCTTCTGCTTCCAGTCTGAGACGGGAGGTGAGCTGAGTCTGTGTGTGTGTGTGTGTGTGTGTGTGTGTGTGTGCGTGGATCAGGTTCTACCTTTAATGATCTGCTCCAGGTCCTCCAAGAAGAACTTGTATTGACTCACCAAACCTTCCTCGAACTCTCTGAGCTGATTCGTCTCCTTCTTCACCTGCAGCACCAGGAGACGAGCACAGAGTCCAACTCAGCCCAAACACGAGTGGCGCCACACACACCCTCACATCTCCGTTACCTTGGCGCTCTTCTCCGCAGGGGTCAGAGGTCGTATTCTGTAGGTGGGGGCAATGTCCTTGAAGATCTCCATCAGAGAAACCATCACCAGCTTCCTGACAGAGACCGCCACGCTGGGATCCACCTCCATCAGCATCCCGCGCAGCTCCTTCACACACTTCATCTGCACCCAAACATGACATCATCAGTGACATCATCAGTGACATCACCGCCCTCAGGAGCAGCGGGCGGCTCTTACGCTGCTGATGGGGTCTGAGATGATGGTTGATCCCAGGTTGGCGATGCGTCTCTTCCTCTCCGTTAACTTGATGACTCTCAGCTGCTCCCTCTGCTCCGACGTCAGCTCCACGTAGCTCTGCAGCGCCTCCTCTGCGCAGGAGGAGGACACGCAGAGTTTCAACAGGCATGCACTCTCTTTAACATCCTATAGGGGGTGTGCTGGGAGGTTTTCACTAAAGTCTTGTCTGGTATTAGCATCTAGATCACATGATTTGTTCAGGCTATCTTTCATCGTTTCGTCAGCCTGGTCAGAAGACATCATGGCTGCCCGTGGTGGAGAACCTGCTTCCTTGGGGGTAAGTAATCATATATTAGTCATACTTATTTTTAATAAAACATCAGTATAAATTGCTAAAATTAATTAGGACTTTTTCTAAACATTCTGATGAAATAAAAATGTTCCAACTGTATTTGTGCTGTTACTTAGCAGCTTTAGAAATATATGAATCCCGAGGTACGTTGCCAGATTTTTCATTCAACCTTTATTTCTACAGGTAAATCCCATTGAGCCTCCAGGACTCATTTACAAGAGAGACCTGATTTAACAAAGAAAGATGACAACAATGGACAACAGCAGCAACAATAAACAGTTATAAAAAGTCATACTGCAGTTTTTTTTTTTTTTTTACAAATAGGATGGCTAAAAGAAAAAGGTAACAAAAAAAAAACAAAAAAAACCATCTAGATTCTAAGGTGAATGTATAAAACTAAAAACAGGAACATGTCTGCATTGGTCCCTGCCAGGAGTCCAACAGATTCTTAAAGCCACTTAGAGAGGTCAAAGGTCGAGAGCTTCAGATCTTTTTACAAGATATTCCAGGAAACAGGAGCGGAGTAGGAGAAGGTCCTTTTGTCTAGTTCAGTTCTCACTGAGGGAACACTGCAGGTAATGATGTCCTGAGAGCGCACGCTGTAGCTGCACTCACACAGAGACATGTAGGAGGAGATGTATGAAGGCAGCAGACCAGGAAGTGATTTAAAGATGAAGATGTACCAGTGAGAGAGTCTGTGTGGAGTTAATGGTGACCAGTTAACCAGTGAATACTGGGTGCAGTGGTGGGTACGGTAGTTACAGTCAGTTATGAATCTTAGTGCACCATGGTAGACAGCATCCAACATTTGCAGCATCCAACATCTGCAGCATCCAACATCTGCAGCATCCAACATCTGCAGCATCCAACATCTGCAGCATCCAACATCTGCAGCATCCAACATCTGCAGGGTTCTTGTAGGAGCGTTCATGTAAATAATGTCACCGTGATCGGGTACAAATTTGATCAATGCGCATTATTCAGAGTTTTGATTCAAACTGGAAGGCATGTTGATAATTACAACAGTACCACAGATGATCATGCACAGCTGTTACCATAACAACACTATAACTGTGTTGTGCTTTAACTTTTGTTTTTCAAGCAGGGCATCTCAGCTAGTTCCTTTTATGGGAAAATGAAGGAAAGCACAGGAGTGAGAGTGATAGAAGAGATCCCTGCACGTTCTTCTGACTCGGAGTCAAACAGTGATGAAGACCAGGAAGTAAGTTTCAACCAGCATGAGCTAGAGGCAGTACTGATGAGGAGGATGAAGAGATGGATCATAGTACAAAGTCCAAACTAGCCAAGGAATTCAGGTGAAAGTAGTTTGATTTAGGGACATTTATATGTACAACCCAGACAAATATAGGTATTTTGTAGTTGATGTAAGGTGAAAAAACACAAATCTTCTGTATAGTTGTGATATTTATTAAAAGTAGCATGCCCCTAACCAGCTAAATTCAGTCCGTACTTGCTAATTTTACCACTTTATACAAATAACAATGCAGTTTTGACTACAAGGTGGATAATGAGGCAGGAGTGGCAATTGTAAAATGGTCTGACAACAAAGTTGTCACCTTAGCTAGCTCCTGTGCTGCAATCAGTCGTCTCAAAGAAGTCAGACGTTTCTGCAGAGGGGACAGAAGAAAAGTTGCCGGTCCATGTCCAAACATTGTGTCACAGTACAATGTTCACATGGGAGGGGATGACCTTGCTGACATGATGGTGGCCGTGTACCGCACTCCTGCAAACTCCCACCGGTGGCACCTGTGCCTCTTTTGGCAAATGGCTGATATAACCATCACCAATGGATGGCTGCTGTATCACCATGATGCCAAAAGCATTGGTGTGCAAAAACACAAAAAGCTCAAGAAATTGATGCTCGTCGTGCTGGACATAGCCTGCGTGTTTGCGGAGTGAAAGTGGAGCAGCAGCGGGACAGACCCGGTCCGGCAGAGACCCAAACTGGCAGCAGCTCCAGAACCGCGTCGTCAGAGATGCCACCGCCCTACCAGCTTCAACGCCGAGGAGCTAACCACAACGACACGCCGAAGAGCGCACCGAGGAACGACTGCTACCAGGCCCGTTTGGGTGAGCCATGCGGAGGCGCTGCGGGCAGGGGAAAGGGTCGGACCCAGTGGAGGTGAACTATGAAAATATGGAGGAAATCAAGAAATCTCTGAATTTTATGAGTGCAGAACTGACAGAGCTAGCTTCACGACAAGAACTTTTGATCAGTCTTGTCGAAGAAGTGAAGCAACTGAAAATTGCACTAAGAGAAAGAGATAAAAAAATATCAGAACTTGAGAGAAAAGTAAATGATCTGGAACAGTATACACGACGGGATGACTTAATAATTACTGGACTTCATGTAAAACCCAGAACCTTTGCTCAAGCAGTGACGAGTGGGGACAATACAGAAGATGCTCCTCAGGAACAATTGCTCACACTGGAGCAACAGGTAGTGACTCTTTTGGAAAGGAAAGATATTGACATTAATCCTGAGGACATTTCAACTTGTCACACCTTGCCAACCAAGTCAGATAAAATAAACCGCCCATTGTTGTTAGATTCATTAGTAGAAAAGCGAGAAATAATCTATTGGTGCAAGCAAAGAAATTAAAGGGTACTAATGTCTACATAAATGAACATCTAACAACAAAAAAATGGAAACATCGCCCGTGAGGCAAGGTTGTTAAGGAAACAGAAAAAAATTGTAGCAACTTGGACAAGAAATGGAAATATCTGGATTAGAGTAAATGAAGGGTCACAGGCTAAAATGATAAAGGAAGTGAAGGATCTGGAAGGATTTAGATGAATTTAAGACAAATTACAACAATTTGGTAAATAAGAAGTTAAAATTAATATAGATGAAGACGAATACAGACATTAAGACATGAATACATATGAAGACTCCGAACTTAAAATATATGAGATAGATGATCAGCTTTATTCAACTTTTTTCCTGTAATTAAAGATTGTAAATATAATCCATCCATCCATCCATTTTCTTCCGCTTATCCGGGGTCGGGTCGCGGGGGTAGCAGCCTAAGTAGGGAGGCCCAGACTTCCCTCTCCCCAGCCACTTGGGCCAGCTCTTCCGGGGGAATCCCGAGGCGTTCCCAGGCCAGCCGAGAAACATAGTCCCTCCAGCGTGTCCTGGGTCTTCCTCTGGGTCTCCTCCTGGTGGGACGTGTCCGGAACACCTCACCAGGGAGGCGTCCAGGAAGCATCCTAATCAGATGCCCGAGCCACCTCAACTGGATCCTCTCGACGTGGAGAAGCAGCGGCTCTACTCTGAGTCCCTCCCGGATAATCGAGCTTCTCACTCTAAGGGAGAGCCCAGACACCCTGCGGAGAAAACTCATTTCGGCCGCTTGTATCCGAGATCTCATTCTTTCGGTCACAACCCAAAGCTCGTGACCTTAGATGAGGGTAGGAACGTAGATCGATCGGTAAATTGAGAGCTTCACTTTTGACTCAGCTCTCTCTTCACCATGACAGACCTGTACAGCGCCCACTTCACTGCAGACGCTGCACCTATTCGCCTATCGATCTCACGCTCCATTTTTCCCTCATTCGTGAACAAGACCCCAAGATACTTGAACTCCTCCACTTGGGGTAGGACCTCCTCCCTGACCCGGAGAGGGCACTCTACCCTTTTCCGGCTCAAGACCGTGGCCTCAGATTTGGAGGAACTGATCTTCATCCCGGCCGCATCGCATTCGGCTGCGAACCGCTCCAGCGAAAGCTGTACATCATGATCTGATGAAGCCAATAGGACCACATCATCTGCAAAAAGCAGAGAAGCGATCCTAAGGCCACCAAAACGAATCCCCTCAACACCTTGGCTGCGCCTAGAAATTCTGTCCATAAAAGTTATGAACAGAATCGGTGACAAAGGGCAACCTTGGCGGAGTCCAACTCTCACCGGGAACAAGCCCGACTTACTGCCGGCGATGCGGACCAGGCTCTGACACCGGTCATACAGGGACCTAACAGCCCGTATCAAAGGGCCCGGTACCCTATACTCCCAGAGTACCCCCCACAGGGCCCCCCGAGGGACACGGTCGAACGCCTTCTCCAAGTCCACAAAGCACATGTAGACTGGTTGGGCAAACTCCCACACACCCTCCAGGACCCTGCTGAGAGTGTAGAGCTGGTCCAGTGTTCCACGGCCAGGACGAAAACCGCACTGTTCCTCCTGAATCCGAGGTTCGACTATCCGACGGACCCTCCTCTCCAGAACCCCCGAATAGACCTTACCAGGGAGGCTTAAGAGCGTGATTCCCCTGTAGCTGGAACACACTCTACAGTCCCCCTTCTTGAACAGGGGGACCACCACCCCGGTCTGCCAATCCAGGGGAACTTCCCCCGATGTCCACGCAATATTGCAGTCGCGTAAGCCAACACAACCCTACAACTAGGGCTGCAACAACGAATCGATAAAATCAATAAAAATCGATGATTAAAAGCGTTGGCAACGAATTTCGTTATCGATTCGTTGTGTCGCTCGATTAAGCATCTTTCACGGCGCTGCGGAGCCGTTTCGTTTTGTTCACCTGCAGTTCATTGTCAATGCTGACTGACTGAATAAAGTTTGAAAAAAAAAAACTGCAGCGCGAGTTGAACAGAGCGAGGGGGGAGGAGGAGGCAGAGTAAAGTGTTTTCAAAGCAAAATTAAGTAACTTTTACAAATGACCAGCAAAAACTGTTCGACACAAGTCCTCCAAAGAGTGGGAGCTCTTCATAAAGATAAAAAATGAGAAACATGCAGCT